CAAGACCACTGATAATCTCCCTTGATCTGGGGCTCCATGCAAGATCTCACCCTGTGGGGTCCAAATGATCACAAGAACCACAGTAAAAGCAGGGATAGTTTGCAAGGATAGAAAGTTATGGAGCAATATATGAATAGTGTTGATGTAAACTAGATTTAGTTTCATTTCCTTTTCTTTTATCTACTGCCTTTGCTTTGTTTACTACTTCTTTTTCTGTACTTTGCATAATCCTTGCCACAAAAGGTGAACCATAATTTGATATAGCCTTTTATGTTGCCTACTGAGGATGTGAACTTGAGTATTAGTCAATAAGTATAATAAAACTGAATTTCTTTGGGGTGTAAAGGGAACTATAAGGAATTTTCTTCCCACATAGTTAGCCATCTTGTGGTGCATAGAAATCAATGGCGTATATTTATTTTGCATGATATTATCAGAGGCGGCAGCAGCATATTCCCAAAATGAAAAATGTAAGTTAACTTCTAAATGAAGGAATGAGGTTGCAAAGCAATAGATTACAGTGGAAATAGTAGGATTTAGGGAAAGGATTTTGAATCTTAAAGTAAAGATCAGAAGAAAGGTTTGTTTGGAGTAGTACTGGAATCAGGAAGGATTAAAACATGTACTCTCTCTTCAAAGGCTTAAAACATTCCTGCTCAGTTGAATCAGAACTAGCATAGAGCAGACCAGTGAAGACACAACATCCATTCCCTTTGTGACTGGAGAGTTCTAACAAACTATTTCACTTCCTTAGAAGGGCAGGTTTATCAGTCATTCCATTCCCTTCTCTTCTTTTGCATTATCTATATGTAGAAAACAAAACTAAAAGCCCTTCAAAATGGTGCATATGGAAAAGTCCATATACAAGTAATTCCAGCTGCTTTGGAAAGAATCATCCTCTGCACTAACTACTTGGAAATGAGATTCCAAGATTTAATCCAGTACATAATCCTAAATGTACTTATTAAACCTCTGAAACAAAAGGACCAAGTTAGAAAACACAAGAAAGGATAGAAATAATTGAATAAAAAATATTGGGTGCTTAAATTTTTTGGAAGGTTTCTCTATCCTGCACATTTTTTTTACGTCTCATCAGACACACATTCTACCAATATTTAGGATAATGAAAAAAACCCATCTCTTTCCTACTAAAGCATTTCATATATCTGATTGCTATCCAGGCTGTAGATTGTGCCATGACTCATGACTTTTGGTATCTTAGGAGTATTATCCTGCAACAGTTACCTTTGTGTTAAGAGAAGCTGATGACACCCTAAAGACTAGCGAAAATATTAAGGAATAAGCCTTTTTAGATAAAAAGCCATGTCCTAGCCTACACAGTGGCACAGAACTCTTGTTTTCACTACATTAACAAGGCTAGAACAACTAGAAGCCAGCTCTCAATTAAATTTAGGGACATTAACAAAAATTGTACTTACTAATAAACTTGTTTTGCATAGTTTCTAGCAGAGCTTGATGAGCATCTTCATTTTGCAAAGCACATGAACATTCTCTGGCCAGTAATGTCCGTACAAGATGCTCTCCACAACCTATATAAAGGACATATATGAGCAAGCACCGTTAATATATATGTGCAAAATGGAAAAAATATATCTTAATTAATAGTTGTACAGAACTGCTATAATTAAAAGTCCTAACTGCTATAGGACTTTTTTAACAGTACAAATCTCAAAGGATTCCAATGAGCTAGAAAGAACTTGAAAACCAAAAAACGGCAGAAATCCATAATTTAAGAACCAAACACAGAGTATTCACTCTTCACCATTTAGTCTCCCAGGATTATTTTCAACAATATAGTAAAGGTGGTTATTTCAAGCACAACCCATAGGTTTTACATAAAAAAAAAAAAGAGTATGTGTATTTAAGACTCAACTAGCAACACGTAAGGTACTTCACAATTTTTTTCTCACTCGTGCTTAAGTTTCAAGCCGCTTGTGTTATATTATAAATAAATAATCAAGAATAACATTATCACATACAAATGCCAAAGCACCAAAGCCAAACTCATAAACACTCTGTATTGCAGGAAATTAGTCCAAACTGAAACCAAAAAGCCAAAAACACCTGTCTGACTATAGGATAGACTTCACAAGTGGCATGTATTCTTTTTTCTCCTGCTGTCCGCAATATTCCCTGAAATGTGTTCCCCAGGAGACCTTAAGAGACGATTTAAAAACATATGGGAAAGGATACAAGCAGGAGGAAAGGGTAAGATAGTCTTACTGTGCCAATGGAAGTTAGCATATCCAATTCCAGACAATCGGGGTAAGTTTTGAAGCAGCTGCACTGAGCTTTCCAGAGCATGCAGGTATTTCAGTGTTTCAAGGATGGATCTCATATCCTTCAAATACTTTTTACAACTCTAGTAATTTAAGCAGGTATATCTTTTTCATCCTGTGGGGATAAGCTGAACTTGATAATATTCACTTTTTAATATTTTCAGTAATTATTAAAACTAAGTAGCTTATTCTGGCACTGCACCTCTATACAAAAATAATACTCCAGTTAATACATTTATTTTGTGTTTCTTTCTCTTATACGTCTAATACTTTGTTCTGTCTCTTCAGTGAAGTTTCTGTTTTGGTGAGTATTCTTGAATTTCCAAAGGGTCCTGTCATTTTTTCCATCACACTTAGGGAAAATTGTGTGATCAACCCTGGATTATTTCTCTATGTTCTCTGAAGGGAAGCACCAATGTTAACTACTACAGACATCATGTCAAGATATTTTACTGTAGAGATTTACACAGAGAACCTACTTTATTATAAACAGATGTTAACCCAACAGGGTGGTACTTAACAAAGGATCAAACCTGGATCCAGCCATCTTTTTAAAGTGCTAAAAGGTCACTCCAGAATATATCTTACTGAAAACAGAGCAGCACCTTTACTGTGACAGTCCCTGGCTCCTACACACCAAACAGTTTAAATCTGTCATTCTGGAATAGTTTATAATACTAACACTACATGCTGCAGCCTTAGGTCTATAGATGTTTTCACTATTTTTGTTCCAATGCTATTTTTAAAATAGGGCTCCTACTGAAGGAGGCAGATACCTTCCATATGAATAGACCTGCAGGGAGCTACATAACACCCTGACTCCCACTGTTTATCAAAGCCCACCTTCAAAGAGAAAGTTCTTCAAGCCCCTCATTCAGTAAGTATTTCTCAAACTAGGTGCAAACAGGCAAAGATCACAGAAATTTAACCAATTCTAAACTTCAAGGTTCAGTAGTAAGTACTTGCCAGGTGAAGTACACCCAATGTTCTTTGCCTCCAAGTTTGTTGGCATTGTTTAGGAGACTAATGAGTACAGCTTGCCAATGAGGATACACCATGATTTCATTGGTAGCTCATTGACTGATGGAAGTATCTTTATGCTGCTTGTTTTCTCTTTTGTTATTCTTCAATCTATAAATATAAGGCTGATAAAATTAAAAAAAATATGCCATAAATAAATGCATGTTATGGTTAACTCTTTAAATACTCTGACAGTTTCTCTTTACCCTTCAGTACTATTATCAACAAGATTAAATACTGCCTTACTTTTGACTGATGTTTTAGATCTGTATCATTTCAGGTGAAAGCTCAGATGTCTGAACATTCTCCCATTCAAAACACCTTCATGCCTAATCCACCCTTAACATCATAGTTTATTACACAGGCTGAACTTTTTCAATGAGGAGGAATGCTTATTGATTGTTTTGATCACGTGTGTGTGAGAAGGGGGCTGGAGCTGGGAGAACTTGGAATCCTTTTGCCATCAGTGGAGATCCAGTGAAAGAGAGGAAATGTCTGATGTCTACCAAGAGCTATTCTTAAAAGGGCTGAAAGGGATGTATGAGAGTATTTTTTATCCCTTCATTTCTTCCCCTTATGACTACATTTGTCATTAGCCCCCTTCCTAGAGCAGCAGGAATGTGATGAAACCAAGGAAGAGAGAACAATGTCAAGGACAGGAAAGAGGAGGAACATTATAGGACAGAAGAGTTAACCCTTTGTTAGTGGCTCCTTTTCTCCACTAATTGAGAAGGTTCACATTCAAAAACAAACATTATCAATATTAACTGGACCATACTGAAAATTATCAGATGATTTCCTATTGCCCGCATTGGGTGTATCTCCCAACCCATAGGCTCCTGGCCAGTTTTCCTATCAAACTACCTGCCCTGTCTGATAACACAGGAGGGAGGGAGAGAGGGAGGAAAGATCCAGCTGTGGATCACCTGTATCACATGCCACTGAGTCCTTGTATTTTCACTATATTATGATACATGATTTCTAAAGTTAAGGAACACTTTTACAGTCACATATTGCACATTACTGTAGTATTCCAAAGTTAGGAAATCTTTTAGGAGGTACACAATTCTTTTGCGCTGGAAATCTTTCTGGAATGTTAGAATAAAACATGAAAAGCATGAAAACTTCAAGGGTTATGAGTGTTAACTTTCTTATCAGTTTACATGACCTTTTGTTACTATGTGTAATGTTTTTCATTTCAGCTTGTCACAAAGCCCAGCATCTACACCAATCTCCTTTAAGCAGATTTCTCAAAGTTTAAAATAACCTCAACAAACATCTAAAAAAAAAAAAACCCTCAGCATTGGGCGAAGTAAAACATGACTTATTATTCAAGCCCAGCATCTTAGAGTCATCTACCAATGGAACCAAGATGGCATAGCAAAGAACTTCTGTAAAGCAAGGCATTTCAAAGCAGTGTGTCAAAGAAATTGTTTCTGCTTCTTTTGATGAGCTTTCCTTTCAAGTCAGGAAATTAGAAGCAGGTGTGACAGAGGGCATCTGCATTCATACACCACATTGAAAAACACACGTTTTTAATTTTCAGACATGAAAGTAACTCCTATTGAGTGGAGGAGAAATGAAAAGCCAGGCTTCTTTCTGCAAGCCACATGCAAAAAAGGAAGGAAGCCAGGCAGCAAGTTATAGCACATGAACTATTGTTAAATGATCAGCCACAGCAGCAAAGTTGCCGATGAATCTAGAGAAATTCATCTCTCCAAATTAGAACTGTTATCTACTGTGCAGCAGTATGGACAACAGCTTTGATCTTTTATTCCAAAGAAGCACCCATCAATATTTCAAAACCTTGTAGTAACTATTTTGAAAAACAATTCAGTCACATGAGATGAAATGATGATTGAAATTAAAATGAACTGAACGACTGAATTCATACAGATAAAAGCAGCACTAGATGAGGTGAAGCAGAACTTTTTGGACATGAAGTAGAGACCTAATTCTCTAGATCACAAAATGGCAGAGTTAAGTCTTAGTGACTGATTCAGAGGGGGAAAAAATCAGCCAGCTTGAAAATTCTAATAACCAACGTACCTTGGATGTTATATCTGTGTTGCAGATAAATAAAGATGTTTGAGATGAAGTGATCTGTTTACATGTTCTGATTCAGAGACTAATATCTCTGAGTTGCTCAATATTCCTCACAATGCTGAGCAATCTACAGTAGTCTTTATGGAGGAATTCACAGTGAGATTTTTTTTTTTATGCAGTTGGAATATAAACTGGAAACTGAAGCTGCTTACTATGAGGGTTTCTGTTTCCATTTAGTTCAGAAGCACAGTCCTATTGTGGTTAGATTTTAAAATCTACAATACGGGATCATATCCTACATTTATCTTAGCAAGTGGGATCTTCTGAATGGAATGTGAAGAAGATAATGATTTTTCCAGATCTTCTCCCAAACAGTTCAGAAACATCAGCTTTTCAGTAAAACTTGCTTGGCAGCAAAATTAAATGTAAGCTTTTTTTTCTTTTTTGTTTTCCAGCAATTTTTTGTTTATCATTGGATTCTGGAGTGAAAACATTTTTTTGATCAGGATGCTGCAAAAACATTTATGAGTTTATGATCAGCTGAAGTATAGAAGTAGCAAACTTTGGTTATATCTATTTTTTATTCTCATATTTTTAAAGGGATGGGGGAGAGTTCCTGTACTGCATGTTCAGCACATCCCTTCTGGAAGTCCCTGTAGTATGACCTTCTAGAGGTGGGGGGGAGAGGTTCTGTTTTAATTTTTGCTTTGTATTTTTTAAAGGTCTTCCTTCTTTTTAATGTTCTTACTCAATGCCTTAATTTTTTAAATCAGTAGTTTTTCACATTTTTCTTTTTATTCTTTAAAGTGTCTCTCTCAGTTAAATGAAAATTCTTTTCTTTCCCCCCAACCTATAGAAATACTACTTTTTCTGTATCCACGTTTCATTTTATTTTTTACTTAATTCATCTTTAGTTATTTCCTGAAATGTCTTATATATCCTTTTCAAAGAAGACAAATACTAACTTGGATAATTTATAATCCATAGTAGCAATAGTTAATTTTGCAAGAAACTCATTTTATTCCATATGAGACAGTTCTTTATCCAGAAAATGGATTGGTTTAAGATATCTCAGTGGAAATCCAAAATCTGCTAACTTTGATTGACAAGTCTTCAAAATTGTAAAGGAACAAGAAGTGATCCAAAGAGACATTTTAAATATCTGTAATCAAATATTTTAATAACTGTATTGTATGTATTAATTACAGATGTTTCACATAAGTGCTTTTGTTATCCCTATAGTTTTCAAAGTATTTTTACTTTAGCCATGGCCCAGATAATTAAGGCTGGAGATTTTAACCAAGTTCTAGACCCTTTTTTAGATCATAATACCGTTCCAACATTCACAGAAAATATTATAAACCTGTTCTTGACTTCTTAGTATATTGATCATTAGTTGATCAGATAGATGATTAATATACTTCATATTGTAATATCCAATCATATACTAGAAACACTGTAAATTAATACATGAAAAAGCCATCCTAGTATTTCCAAGATGGCACTTAAATGCATCATTATTAAAGGATTCACATTTTATAAAGCAGATGAAAGAACAGTTTGAAGATTTTTTTGTATAAAGATTCTAAAATTTGCTGATCAGGAATGCTTTTAAGACATACATTTGTGGTTGTATTGTTTTGCTTTGCATAAAAAAAGAACCAAATGCCTAAACAAGAATAGTTGGAAAGTAAGGAAGTTTTGAGTACAGATGCATACAAGACAAAATACAGTGGAACTATGTAAAGCTTTTATGTCTATCAAATTATAATTTAATTCCCTTTACACAATACAGAATATTTACTGCATCACATAAAGCAAAAATACCAGGAATGAAGGGAAAGGCCTACTGTAGTACATTATCGGCCTCTTGACCGAAATGACAATATGGTAATATCATTTCTACCTTTCTAAATGCTTGGAGCAAAACCTATGATAACCATGGTCTTATAAATAAGCACCTTTTAAATTTACTTCTACTCAAGTTTATTATACCAAGTCAAAGGTTACTCTAATTCTTTAAGAAATAATAAACACTACTAATAGGAAAAACACCTGATCCTGATGGTTATTCTACTGAGCGGTAAAAGTGCAAATAGCAGGGGCTTTGCCCAATCTTGATTTGATCATGAATGCCAGGAAGCTAAGAAGGAACTAATTACCTATTTAAAAACATAAAGACAAAACTCACGCATATGGCCCAATATCTACCATCTCTGAAGAAACAGTACAAACATTTAATACAGTCTAAAAAGAAGCAGGAATTCATGGCAACAATTAATTTTAACTTTTCAGTCTAAGAATTCAGCTTTGTTTTGACACCTGATAACCCCTACCTACCAGCCTTTCTTATGCTTGCTTCTTTATATTAGCTTCACTGTGGAAAAATCATTTTAGGGCTACTACCTATCCGATCTGGTAGGACGGGCAGATGCCCTTAGGGAGAGGCAGTCCTGCAAATAACCTGCCCCTGTATCATATAAATTACTGATCAATTGATCATTGACCATAATAAAGTTTACTACTACTATTCAGTAAACACTGATAGTTTAATTGTCCATCCTGTGCAATCCTGTTTTTAAAAAGGGCAGGATTACTTGAATAATATTAGATTATAAATTGATATTTTATATATGTATTCAGAAAAATTAGAATCAGCAGCAGTGATCATGTGGGTAATTAAAAGGCTTCTAATAAGCAGTTTAAATTTTGGAGCAAGTTTTGGTGAAATATGGATTTATTATTAATGGGGTTAAACGTACAATTCTAATCCTTCAGACAGGATTATTACAAATGGAATTGTTTCCTTATCTATCAAGATGCCTCATGGAACTCATCAAGAGTTAGGGTTAGGGTACTGTGGCAGCTGCTTGCGTGATCTCCTGCCCCCAGCAGCAGCCACCCCTTGCCCAGCAGCCACTTGCGCGTCCTCCTGCCCCTTAACCGAGGACTACCTGTACATTCTGAGGGTTCTGCTGAGGTAAATGCAGTAAAGCTTATAAGTGAATGCACTGCCTTGAATTTGTTGACACATCTGCCAATAAACCATGCTTATGGCTTATCATGTCATTTAAATAAACCTACTTAGTGCATAAACGGCTGCTCACAACATAATGCAGATATAATACTCAACCCTGGCTAAGAGCCAAAGTGATATATATTATGTTTAAACAAGGGCCTTGATTTACTCTCCCTAGTTTTTTCCCTCCTAGTTTGGTGACTGAGAGGAACTCTGCATTAACTATGGATATTAAAGGAGGAGGGGGAGGAGCAAATGGTGGGTTAGTGGTCAGCACATTTAAAAAGCCCGTTCAATCACCCAAAATATGTTAATGAAATAATGTTTTTTCCTGTCTTACCTAAGCTAGCTTCAAAGAGAAAACAAATAACCAACTTCAATGTAGTTTGGAGAAGTCTACATCAAGTATAAATAACTAGATTTAGCAATTCTGTTTCAAGCTGTAATTTTACAAGGCAGTTTGTGGGCAATGCTATTATTCAGGTTCTAAATTAATGTCAAAGGAACCGCACATGTAAGTATATATACTCTGAATTTAGAGGGACAAACATTCTATAGTCATCTATATATGTGTTCGGTTTATTTTTCAAATTTACAATTAATTTAATTGCCCTACCTACCCTATTAAGTAGCCAAAGGTTGACTCCAGCTGATGTAAAGTACATTAGAAATATTCACACATTTGAAGATATACAGTAGCAATATATCTCAAGCATTTGTGTATAAATTTCAGACAAATATTTATAAGAATAGTAAATACCTGAGGTACTCACAGCTGTAGAATAAGGATTCTGAATTCCCATATTTTCAGCCCAGCAACCACATCCATAAAGAGCTGCCTGACAGAACAGGAAGAGAATTTTATAAAAGAAAACAAAGCTTAATCAATGTTAGAAAATGGGTGGCAATACAAACACTAGGCTTGTGCAGATTATCTGACAAGGTGCCTTATTTCTGAGCAAAGTCCCTCAAGTTCCAGTCCCCTGAGCTATGAACCCATAAACACTACAGCTTCTTGAGGTTCCCTGCAGAATCTTTTTTTAAAAAAAATAATGTACTTGATAGGAAAAAAACCCCACAGAAAAATAACTCATAAAAAGCAATACTCAACAAATACAATAATGATAAAAATATTATAAGATTAAATATTGGACCAGAATATTCTATAGTCCTGAGAAATGTAATCTTTAGGATCTTCACTAATACAATTCATAAAAAGATGCTACATATAAAAAACCCTTGGGTTTGCATATCTTTTAATATATCTTATTTTATGTGTTAAATTTTCCATATATACCATATACTTTTATTTTATTTAACATATGTCAAGCAATGACTTATTTTCAATATAATTTCAACACTGGTATATTATCAGCAGGGTAATTAACATATGACATAGTTCCTAAACTGGGCTTGGAAGAGATTGACAACAAGCATAATTTTACTTCTGCTACAAATTGTTTGGAGTTAATATTGGTAATTATCTCTCTCCTCATTCCAAAAGATGTTTATTTAAGGCACTCCCACCAAAGATCTAAAAGACTTCTGTTTTGTTCACTGCCTTTCCAGCCATTTTGGGAGAATGATTCTGTAAATTTATTATGCTGTATAGCAGTACACTACCATTTAGAAATTAACTTCAAAGAATTTTCTTGAACAAATGTAGGAATGACTCAGAAGGGTTGTTTCTGCCAAATTCTTTCCCACATTGGTTGATCCATGTTTTTTTTTAAAGTCTGCCTCCAAAAGTTATTTAAGGAATTGTTTAGGATGGTTATACAATTATTTTAAGAATGGTGTAAATTCTAAAGTGAATTTGTTGAAACACTGGTAAGAAAATTGAATAATATTCCATTTACTGACTTTTACAGTGAATTCAGAGATGTATGCAGAAGCAAGGGGGGGCAAGTGGCAAAATGCGGGTCATGCCGCAAGCTCTGCCCCTTTTATATAGGCATTGGGATATTGCATGCCCATATAAAGGGGAAGAGCTTGTGCTGTGCTGCCACAATGCTCATTTCATCATTTTGACAAAATTATCAGATTCTCTCAATGCTTCTATCTCAGTTGTTTAGACTATATCTTGAAGCCTTTTTCCTAACTCATGAAAACCCAGAAAATTAACAGCATCAGTCTGTAGGCTACGTATTGGTCTTCACTTGTATTTGTTTGTTGTTTCATATCCTGCCATTTCTCAAGAGCTCAAGGTGGCTTACGTGGAGATCTTCTTTTGTTTTATCTCCACAACATCAACCGTGTGAGCTAGGTTGGGCTGAGAGTATGACCGGACCAAAATCATCTAGTGAGTTTCCATGGTTAAGATGGACTTGAACCTGGGCTTCCTGGTCCTGGCCGAGTATCTTAGTCATTATGCAACACTGGTATGGGGAGGCCACAAGGTTTCCCTTGACAGGAATCTGTTTTAAAAATCCCTGCCTTGCATAGCCTCGACAATATTTCAGAAAGTAATGGAATAGGAAGAGAGCCAGTTTGGTGGAATGTTTAAAGCGCCAAGCTAGAAACCAGGAGTCCGTGAGTTCTAATCCCACCTTAGGCACAAAGCCAGCTTGGTAGCCTTGGGCCAGTCACTCTCTCTCAGCCCTAGGAAGCAGATAATGGCAAACCACTTCCGAAAATGTTTGCTAAGAAAACTGCAGAGACTTGTCTAGACAGTCACCATGAGACAACATTGACTTGAAGGTATTAAAAACAAAATGGAACAGGAAACACAGCTCCCAGCCAAATTTTAACAAGCAAGCAGGATCATGCAACAACAGATCTTCAAATATCCTAGGCCCAAATTTAAAATTCATCATACCAAGCCCTTGCTCAGTTCCCACTGAGAGTGGATCATCATATAAATGTCTAACCCCAACCAACATCATTTTCACCAAGTTGAACAATCCGCTCTCTATTTGACAACAAGTTTGGAACAAAAAGGTGAAGGTGCACTATACTTGTAACCCTGGATCAAACCTACCTGACCAACTCTCCCAGGATGTTTCAAAGCTAAGCCTCCACTGGACACTGCAGCAGCAACATTTCCTTCTTGATCAATAACAACTGCTCCAACGGTGTCCAATGTTTCTGACTCATTTTCCTATACAACAGGGAACAAAGAAACTGAAAAGCTATTCTTACCAGTGAACAGTGCATGGATGTTTTTGCAGTTGAAGACCACATGGGAACTCAGAGCCAAATAGCTATCAATGAAGGACAGGATTGTTTACTTTTCTTGACCAGATTATACATGCTCTATGTCCATTCATTGAGATCACCTGCTAAGGCCAGTTCATCCATCTAAGATATGAAGCTCATCTACAAGACAGAGGGCTCTGTCAGCAATGGCTCTAGCCATGGAAACATTTTTCCCAGCTTGTTACAAATAAAACTCTGTAATACTAAAACACCTGTAATGAAGCATTTTCTCCTTCTGAATAAGCAAAACAGACAGGACTTTACTCAAAATGTATAGTGTGAAGATACTTATGCAATGCATTTTACAGCATTAAATACCCTAGACTGGCACTGCAAGAGTAATTATTTGGAGACCACATTTTCTGCTAGTAGTGGCTAGGGTTGAAATAAGCAGAGCTGCTATTCTCTTTCTGATACCCCCTTTTCTTTTTTGGATACTGTTTGCTGTCTCTTATTCTTTACATAGCAGGGTACCAGGGATGAGGTAGACAGAAGTGGTCTGGATTAATCATTACCAAAATGCTTTCAAAATCAGGCTGAAGATTAGATGAAATTAAGCCATGGGCTGCAGATTACCTAGCCCTGCTATGTATTTTTAATGGGAAGTAAGATCTATTGAACTCAAGTAGAGCTTACTGCTCAATGCAGATCCATACAGGACAGCACTGAAAGGTATGTGTTTTTACAGTTCACCCCTAAGTATCCTTACTTAGGAGTAAGTATTTCTGAGTATACATTCAATATAACTGAACAAGATTTAATCTATTCCTGTTTTTTACCTTGTTTTATCCTGAAGGTTACTCTGAAATCTGATATAATCAAACAATACATTTGTTTTTAAAATAAATATTTCTAAGAGACTACGGCTTTTGGCAGATAAGTATCCATTTAGAAACAAAGCCTAGAGTTCCAACCATCATCTTACTAATTATTTATCAACTGGGCCTTCAAGGGATCTTCTGCCAGATCTTCCCACTACAAGCCAGCACTGCACATGAGTTTCCCATCCAAATTAGGATAGTAGAAAGAGCTGTGTATATGCTTCCTTCTACCGACGATTTAAGTCCTTAGAACACCCCAAAAAGCAAACAAAGGCTATCATAAATCCACTTTAAACTGAATGACTTTGGTCCCAAAAAAGAATAAAAGCTGCAGTCCTAGTTCATTCCATTTTGCCATACAGAGGGTCAAAGTTTCAGAAAACATATGAGAAGCAACGATAGACCATTTTGGACAACCTGAGCCCCTATGGCTCCTTGTGGCCCCCAAACTCTTACTTTGCAAGCCCTCTAGCCCTTTCTGATCAAAATGCCAAAAATAAAATAAAAATGGAAGCACTATTTCCTGCCATTTTGAGGTGAGAATCAGATAAAGGCTGCAGTGCAAGTCTTAACCCCCCCCAACCCCCTCTGAAATCCAGGAGGAATATCAGTTGTGTCAACGTGTGTGACATGGCCCTATCTATACAGCGGCGACATCCCATCCGTTATAGACCTCCCAAAAAATATTAAGTGCAGCTCCTGGAAACCTTGCTCTACTTTTTTTTTTATAATAATTTTTATTAAAGTTTAAAAAGACAGACATAAAAAACAAATACAAACTAAGAAAAATATAAGAAGAAAAAAGAAAGAATAAAAAATTCAAAGGGAAAAGAAGAAGAAAAAAGGGGGGATTAAAAATATATATAAAGAAAAGCGAATATATAAAGAAATGACTTCCTCCTTCATCAAGACAAGAAACCTTGCTATACTTAGATTAAAGCTGCTGTAGCTTATATGGATAAATCTCACTTTCCTTTAAGGAATGTTTTCCTTAAGAGTTTTGTCCTAGATAGTTGCTGGTCTGCTTGTTTTTGCCATAAGAACTAGGTGAATGCCATGCAAAGTTATCAATGTGTGATGCCTCAAAGGATTTTACGTTTATCAGCCAGCTTGTTTCAGAGCCTGATGCTGATTTGGGCTGAGGAGTGACTGGCCTTCAATCACCCAGCTGGCTTCTGTGTCTAAGGGAAGACTAGAACCGGACCCTTTCTGCACCATAACAATTATATCATGGTGGCTGACTTTCCATTCCTTTTATTTCCAACTGATTTCTTCAAAATCATTTTCATCATAGAATTCTGGAAAAAATAAAACCTCCCTATTGAAAGTCACCCTATGGACACCACATTTATTGTACACAGATGGAAACTAAAAATAAATGGCTCTAATACAAAAGAACGAAGCATGAATGTGGAGGGGAGGCTTATATTTCTAATAATTAAACCTATCAAGGGCAACCACAGCCTATACATTCCCAAGAGATCCCCAAACTTCAGGAACTGTTTGCAGAACCCAGGGAGCTGAAGCAGGGAGGGCAGTAGGAACATTCTATCCATAGAAATTTTTGCTCACAGTTGTTAGAGTGTAAGCCTTCAGTGGAACACCAGCGAGTATCTAATGAAGACTGCAAGTATCTAATGGCACTGTTTTTAAGGCCCCTGTAGCCATTCAATACTGCATCGATCATTTAGCAGTTATGATTTTTAAAGTCATACTGATTTAATAGCCTAATGCAATTATTAAATACTTATTTTAATTTAGATCAATTATTACATTTAATACTTTAACATTTCAAACTTGTGATGAAAATAGGTATCTTAATCCAACAACAGCTTTTACCCCTTGAAAATTCCTGTAAAAATTCGCTCCAATCCTCCAGAGTGTTCAATATTTCTTTCCTGTCCATTCCAGTGACATTATTAGCCATGCCTCTTACAGCTCTCACATATTGCTCTGTTTATATAAAAACACATTGGATCTCAAGAGTAGAAAGTACAAAAAGCGGCATGACCCATTCTAAAGCTAGCAGTCAGAAATATATTGTCTGCAAAATAAAATTAAAAAGATATATATATATATATTTACAGAGATGCCCATCATGTATTTTCCGTATCAGCATCTTAAATAAGGGAGAACAACCTTGTGGCTTAGATCCAGAATCCCCATGATTGGAACTCTGCAGGCAGGACACACTCAACAGCCAAAAGGAAGAGTTTTGTTTCATTCCTTTCTCCCAGAGCAGCCTATGCTCACTAAAAAATGTTCTGGAGGACTTAAAGCATTTCTAAAATGTGGGGCATTTTATCTCTGGAATAGAGACAAAGGGTATCTCTGGGAACATTTTTTTTTTCCCTTTGAGTCAATGGTTGACTTCTGGTGACTGCTTGGACTAGCCCCTTTGGTTTTTGGAAGTGGTTTGCCATTGCTTGTTTCCTAGGGCTGAAAGAGAGTGACTGGCCCAAGGTCACCCAGATGTCTTGGGGCTATGGCAGGATTTGAAGTCATGGTCTCCCAGTTTCTAGCCTGGTGCCTCAACCACTACACCAAACTGGCTCTCTCTGGAAATTTATTTTTTTCCAATTTTTTCCTCAGCAGTAGCTGGAGCTAAACTACACTTTTGCCAAGGGAAGCAATTATTCCTCTCACAGAATAGCAATTCTGTTCCTTCCTTGTATCAGTTAAGGAGGAGGGAGGGGAAGAGAAAGATTTTTCTTTTTTGTAGCTAAGAAATCATTTGTATTTCAGCAGCCATAAGACTTAATCCACTTACTATAAAATTCAGTGTAGATTACATGTTATGAATTGTTCAAATAAAACTACTTGGAAACCAAGTTTTCATTTAATTATGCACTACACTGATATGACTGGAGTGTATTGTTCTATGTCAACTTCAACATCTGGCATCAAACCATAAAAGAGGCAAAGATGCTGTCAAGTACACTTTCTTGGCAATGTTACAGAAGAGGCTTGTGTTACTTTCTGGGATGGTTTTTAAACTCTCTCCATCTATGATCCCAGAAATAATTATGTTACCATAAAACAAAGAGGTGACATACACAAAGCATTGTTGGAAATACTATGTAAAGCAGGGGTCTCAAGCACATGGCCTGTGGGCCGCATCTAGCCCACTGAGGTCTTTTGGGTATCCCATGGCAGCTCAAAAATTCAAGGCACTACCAGAACCCATCCTGCCTCACTGTCTTGTCACATGTGCAGGCCCCATATGGGCACATACTGGCCATGCAGGTGCGCAGAAGGAACACTGCCAGTCACGTCACCATTTGTCTGTGCAGTTGCTGGCAGGAGTGTGTGCAGAACAACACAGCAGTGAGGTGTGGGATAACAAACAAGTTGGAGATTACAGCCAGGGCAATACCCTATTTTACTGTATTATGGTAGGCAACATATTTTTGCTTTTATTAACAATTAATTATGTCATTTCATTTTTGTATTATTATTTATAAATAAAATACATTTTAATAATTTAATTATTAATAAAGACTGTTTAATATTTGTTGCATTTTTGCATGTGTTTGAATACAGCCTACTGATTAGCTCATTTTATGCAATGTGGCCCTCAAATTCATTTAAATTTGAAACCCCTGGTATAATGTATCAGAAGAGAATCTTGACACGTTAGGCACACTGATATTGCAGTCCTACATATAATCCAAAATGTTATAGCATTTCTCAATTCAGTTGAGAAATAGAATTCTCCCATTCTATTACCACAAGATATTTGAAATCTCAAATAACAGGTTGATAAGCGCATGTTCTGGCATATGGAAGCATTGACTTGCCCTTTATAATATGAATTAATACCATTATCAACCTTCCTGAAATACCTTTGAGGATCCTTATCTTTAGATATTAAAAAAAATCAAAATAAATACCTGAATAATATATACAGTAAGCTTTTTCTCTGAATCATCTTCCCCACAAAAGGAGAAAACAAAGCAATATGTTTTGCAGATGTTCTCACACATCTTAATTCTTCATAACAAAATACATTCAATATATACTCAAAAACTATATTCAGCAACAAGAAAACCAGGGTGCTGAAATTAATCTTAGTAAAGAAATGTCAACCTGTCTTTTGACTAGAGGACCATTCTGGATCAGTCAATGCTAGATAAATGCCCAGACATGTTTACCTACCTGATATTTAAGGTTTCAGCCCTTTCCAGATCCACAGAATATGCTTTAAACTGAGAAATTTTCACCAAAATCTTAAACTGGAGAAAATGTTTCAATAGATATTTATCTTTTCATTTTGAATTTGTCATGCACATTCTGAAAAAGTGAAAATAGTAAAATATATCATCAAGCTATAATGGTGCAGTAGATTTGCTCTCAAATAAAATGGTAGGTTGGATTCAAATGTTTGTGTAACAGCAGTTCAGTAAAATCAATGATATTTATATTATTAATCACAATGACTTTTAAATTAGTTATGATTAAAGTGTACGTGTTTTAATAGATCTACTGACATACATGGGTTTTTAAGCCTAGCACATTATATTTCTTCCATGGCTTTTTTTCACTTCTCTATTTCTGACTCAAGTGCAGGTACGCACACACACACACAGATTTCAGGATAAGTAGTATTATGCAAAGTGCAGAAAAGGAGGGCAAGAGAAAATATAGCTAAATTTATACTGATCTGGGCTTTCACAGCTGGTATCTGTCAGGCAGCACTGAGCTTCAGGGTTTAGTGACCGTGGTCTAGACAACAGATTTCCTTATGTTTCCTACTAAGAGTAAGAAGAGTACTGGTCAGTTTTGACCCATTTTGGTTAATATGTTACAAGCACAACTAAAGCTTGGTGTTATCCCCAGCATGGACACACTACTCTATGCAAACTAGGTATCTAACTTAGGAACTACTTTACAAGCCAACATACTGTTATCCATATTTCATCAATTCCAATAGGGAACATATTGACACACACAGGTACAAGAATATGCGGAAGATTATTTCACATATTATATTGCCTAGACCCATGTCCATGAATACAGGGACATTTCATACACACAGTCTGATCAAGTGTTCCCCAAATAAATGAACACTCCAAAGGAATATTTAATTAATCAGAAGACTCTAGTGCAGGCCTGCACAACATACGGCCCGCGGGCCGCTTGTGGCCCACCAAAGGATTTCGTGCGGCCTGCATCACTCGTGAGCGCAAGGTCCAAAAATGCAGTATGTGTTTTTTTTTTAAATAAAGTTTCCACGATGAACTGTTGCAGGGGTGATTTCCAGGAAATAACCAATCAGCCCTCAGCCTGTGAGTGCTGACACATTATGACAGCGACGAGGGTGGCAAAATCACTCACCGAAGCAGTGAAACTCTAACCA